ATCACCATCATCTCATGGGGTGGGTGCAGCTGTGGCGACGAGAAGCGCCTTCTGGCCGCCACAGCTGGACTCAAGCCTCCAGGAGGCCCCAGCCAGGTGAAGGCGCACCAAAGACCTCGAGCTCCGACATTCATGGAGGAGGAGGAGGAGGAGGAGGAGGCGGACTAGGAGGAGGAGGAGAAGGAGGAGGAGGAGGAGGAGGAGGAGAAGGAGGATAGACAGGCGCGCTCCACTGCTCGCAGAGTAGCTACTCGCAAATGGCCTGGATCCGCTACAGGGGGTTTACGATATATTACACAAAGGCAGACGTATGGTTTTTTGACGTTTGCGAGTGGGCACTTTGCGAGTAGTGGAACGCGCTCGGCGAGAGGAGGAAGCAGGGGGGAGGAAGAGGATGGGGAGCAGGAGGAGGAGGAGGAGGAGGAGGAGGAGGAGGAGGAGGCAGGGGCGTCTCCTTGGAGCCTCTCCAGCCCTCCTGGCTGGCACCCCGGCTTGGCAGCCGGCCTACGCTGCCGGGCCTGAGGGTGCTGGCGGTGCTGCTGAGGCTTTTCCTCGGAGACCTGGCGGGGTGCCCGCAACCCCTGCCGTCACTCCACCGCCCCCCCCCCCCCCCCCCTGGATTTGCTAAAGGTGCCCCTGGCCCAAGGTGCCACCAGCTTTTCGCTTCATTGTGGGCCCCCTCGGGCCCACTGGGTCTCGTGACTGGTGCTCTGGAGGCCGCGGGGGCCTCCTTAGAATCCTGGGGGCACCTTGGGCCAGGGGCACTTCTAGCAACACCCCTTCTGGCCCTGGCATCGCACCACACCGTCCGTAATGGAGCACACCGCAACGGTTCAAGTATTGGGATTATGTTTAAATTAACTTGGAGAGGAGTCTTGCCCAGCAGAAGGTGCCGCACAGCAAAAGGGCTCACCTTGGAGAGGGTGCCGCATAGCAAAGGGGAACATCTAGCACCAAGGATTCATTTGTATCAAATCGGGGAAGGGTCTTGCCTAGCAGAAGGTGCCGCACAACAGATGGGGCACGCCTAGCACAAAGGATTCTGTTTTAATCAACTTGGGGAGGGCCATTGCCTAACAAAGGCTGCCACACAGCAGATGGGGCACGTCTACCACTAAGGATTCTTGTTTGATCAGCTTGGGGAGGGGTCTTGCCTAGCGGCCGCACAGCAGGTGGGGCACGCCTAGCACCAAGGATTCTTTTCTAATCAACTTGGGGAAGGCCCTTGCCCAACAAAGGGTGCCACACAGCAGATGGGGCACGTCTAGCACAAAGGATTCTGTTTTAAATCAATTTGGGGAGGGGTCTTGTCTAGCAGAAGGTGCCGCACAGCAGGTGGGGCACGCTTAGCACCAATATTTGTTTATCAACTTGGGGAGGACTCTTGCCTATCAGAGGGTGTCGCACAGCAAAGGGGCATGTCCAGCACCAAAGATCCTTGTTAAATCTAATCAACTTGGCGAGGGGTCTTGCCTAGCAAAGGTGCCGCACAGCAAAAGGGCATGTCTAGCACCAGGGATTCTTTTGACATTAACTTGGGGAGGGGTCTTGCCCAGCAGAAGGTGCCGCACAGCAAAGGGGCTCACCTTGGAAAGGGTGCCGCACAGCAAAGGGAAACATCTAGCACCAAGGATTCTTGTTTAATCAACTTGGGGAAGGGCCTTGCCTAGCAGAAGGTGCCGCACAACAGATGGGGCACGCCTAGCACCAAGGATTCTTTTCTAATCAACTTGGGTTCTTGTTTAATCAACTTGGGGAGGGCCAGTGCCTAACAAAGGGTGCCACACAGCAGATGGGGCACGTCTAGCACCAAGGATTCTTTTCTAATCAACTTGGGGAGGGGTCTGGCCTAGCAGAGGGTGCCGCGCAGCAGATGGGGCACGGCTAGCACCAAGGACTCTCTTTAAAACAACTTGGGGAGGGGTCTTGCCCAGCAGAGCGTGTCGCACAGCAGATGGGGCACGCCTAGCACCAAGGATTCTGTTTCAATCAACTTGGGGAATGCTCTTGCCTATCAGCGGGTGCCGCCGAGCAAAATGGCATGTCCAGCACCAAGAACTTTTTTGCTTAGATCAACTTGAGGAGGGGTCTTGTCTAGCAGAGGGCGCCGCGCATCATATGGGGCACGTCTAACATCACGGGTTTGTTTTATCAACTTGGGAAGAACTACTGCCTGGCAGAGGGTGCCGCACAGCAGATGGGGCACGTCAAGCACCAAGGATTCTTTTTTAATCAACTTGGGGAGGGGTCCTCCGGTAGGGGTCTTGCCCGGAAGAGGGTGTTGCACAGCAGTTGGGGCATGTTTAGCACGAAGGATTTTTTTTTATCCACTTGGGAAGGGGTCTTGCCTAGCAGAGGGTGTCGCACAGCAGATGGGGCGCGCGTTGTGTTAGGCACGGACAACGTAAAGTAAAATGGCACTTTCAAATGACAATTGGGAAGGGAGTCTGTTGAATACTGAGCCTGGTGAAGAGAAGGAGCATCTTCACAGGGAATGGCGTCTTCATCCGGAATCGCGCACTCACAAAAAATAGCGTCCTCAATCGGAATAGCGTCTTCACCGGGAATAGCGTCTTCACACGGAATAACGTCTTCACCGAGAAAATCGTCTTCACCCGGAATCGCATCTTCCCCCGGAATAGCGTCTTCACCTGGAATAGCGTCTTCACCCGGAATAGCGTCTTCACCCGGAATAGCGTCTTCACAGGGAATAGCGTCTTCACCGGGAATAATGATTTCACCCGGAATAGCGTTTTTACACGGACTAGCGCCTTCACAAAGAATAGCGTCTTCACAAAGAATAACGTCCTCACCGGGAATAGCGTGTTCATCTGGAATAGCGTCTTCACCCGGAATGGCGTCTTGACGGGGATTAGCGTCTTCACCGGGAAAAGCGTTTTCACCGGGAATAGCGTCTTCACCTGGAATAAAATCTTCACCTGGAATAGCGCCTTCACCTGGAATAGCGTCTTCACAGGGAATAGCGGCTTCACAGAGAATAGCGTCTTCACCCGGAATAGCGTCTTCACCAGGAATAGCGTCTTCACAGTGAATAGCGTCTTCACAGGGAGTAGCGTCTTCACCTGGAATAGCGCCTTCACCTGGAATAGCGTCTACACCCGGAATAGCGTCTTCACTGGCAATAGCGTCCTCACCCGGAATAGCGTCTTCATCTGGAATAGCGCCTTCACAAGAAGTAGCGTTTTCACAGGGAGCTGCGTCTCCATAGGGGAAGTGCTGTCTGTGACCGCAGAACGCGTCTTCACCCGGAATAGCGTCTTCACCCGGAATAGCGTCTTCACGGGGAATAGCGTCTTCAGTAGGAATAGCGTCTTCACCGGGAATAGCGTCTTCACCGGGAATAGCGTCTTCACCGTTTTTTTGAGGGAATAGCGTCTTCACAAGGAACAGCGTCTTCACAGGGACGCGTCGTCACAGGGAATAGCGTCTTCAAATATCGTCTTCGGCGCGGGCTCGGAACTGGGAACCCCGATTGCCGGGGCAATGTGTATAGATGTATGTATGTATGTATGTATGTATGTATGTATGTATGTATGTATGTATGTGTGTACGTATGTGTGTATGTTTGTATGTATGTATGTATGTATATGTGTGTATGTATGCATGTATGTATGTATGTATGTGTGTATGTATGTATGTATGTATGTGTGTATGTATGTATGTATGTATGTATGTATGTATGTGTGTATGTATGTATGTATGTATGTATGTATGTATGTATGTATGTATGTATGTATGTGTGTATGAATGCATGCATGTATGTATGTATGTATGTGTGTATGTTTGTATGTATGTATGTGTGTATGTATGTATGTATGTGTATGTATGTGTGCATGTATGTATGTATGTGTGTATGGTTGTATGTATGTATGCACATATGTGTGTATGTATGTATGTATGCATGTATGTACGTATGTATGTATGTATGTGTGTATGCTTGTATGTATGTATGTATGTATGTATGCATGTGTGCATGTAAGTATACATGTATGTATGTATGTATGTATGTATGTATGTATGTATGTGTGTATGTATGTATGTGTGTTTGTATGTGTGTGTATGTATGTGTGCATGTTTATATGTATGAATGTATGTATATATGTATGTGTGTATGTATGTATGTATGTGTGCATGTATGTTTGTATGTGTGTATGTTTGTATGTATGTATGTATGTATGTGTGTATGTATGCATATATGTATGTATGTGTGTATGTGTGTATGTATGTGTGTATGTATGTGTATATATGTATGTATGTGTGCATGTGTGTATGTATGTATGTATGTATGTGTGTATGTTTGTATGTATGTATGTATGTATGCATGTATGTATGTATGTGTGTATGTATGTATGTATGTATGTATGTATGTATGTATGTATGTATGTATGTATGTATGTGTGTATGGTTGTATGTATGTGTGTATGCATGCATGCATGCATGCATGCATGCATGCATGCATGTATGTATGTATGTATGTATGTATGCGAGTATCGCTCCAACACCTGTCTCCCTCCGTCTCCCTCTACCTCTCTCCCTCTCCATCTCTCTCTCTCTCTCTCCCTCTCTCTCCCCCTCTCTCTTTCGTCCACAGCCAACCAGCATCATGAGGATGCGCGGTGAGGATGCAAGGGCCTTGGACGGCCACGATATCTTTTTAAAATCGAGGTTGGCAAGCGAACATCGCGAAGGGTGGACCGAGGAGACAAGGATGCAAGGGTACCCTTGGGAAGGTTGCTCCAATATGCTATGCGGGTCGACTGTAGCTCGTCTCTCTCTCTCTCTCTCTCCCTCTCTCTTTCTTTTTATCCTTCTCTCTCCCTCTCTCTTTCTCAGTCATGTATGTCTGCCCTCAAAGCCGCTCCGCACCTGAACACACACACACACACAACCCACGGCCCCATACGAACATCCTCCCGGCCGACCGGTTGTCACGCATCAGCGACGGCAGCTCGTCCGTGATTGGCAGGAGGGACGCTTTACTATCCGCAATTGACCTTGGCAAGCTCAAGGCGGGGTGGCATGAAACAGGTGAAGAAGCCGCGAAGATCGCGGGGAGGGAGAACATGGGAAGAAGAGAAGGACAGTGAGCACAGGAGACGAGAGGGGACAGCAGCCGAATTGAGAGTAGAGGAACTTGGAAAATGCTGCGGAGACAGAGGAGGGAAGGGAGGCACGGCGGGGAGGGGAGGAGGGGAGGCGGAGAGGGACAAGCAGAAGGATCAGGAGGAGAGAGGAAGAAGAGAATGTGGAGGAGGAGGGGGGGAGAGGAGTATGAGGCGGAGGAGGAGGAGGAGAGAGGCAGAGGAGAAGAAAGAGGAAGAGGAGGAGGCGGACGCGGAGGAGAGGTTTTTACCTAACAGCGAAGACTGATAGGTTCTAGTGGTGTCAAAAGAGAGCATCATGCCTCCTCAGGGGGGTCGGGGCGGGACCCGGGGCGGCTGCCGCCGAAGCCAAAATCGCTTGGGACATCCTCGGAAAATCGCTCTTGGCGCTCCCAGAACTCCATTCCCGGGCCACTTTTTGAATGCCCGGAGCCAACTGTAGGCCACTTCGTGGTCTTCGAGTTCCCAGAACTCCATTCCCGGGCCACATTTTGGATGCCCGGAGCCAACTGTAGGCCACTTCGTGGTCTTCGAGCTTCCCAGAACTCCATTCCCGGGCCACATTTTGGATGCCCGGAGCCAACTGTAGGCCACTTCGTGGTCTTCGAGTTCCCAGAACTCCATTCCTGGGCATGATTTTGAATGCCCGGAGCCAACTGTAGGCCACTTCGTGTTCTTCGAGTTCCCAGAACTCCATTCCCGGGCCACATTTTGAATGCTGAGGCAGGCTGATGCTGAGGCTGAGGCAGGCTGAGGCTGAGGCAGGCTGAGGCTGAGGCCGAGGCTGAAGGCAGACTGAGGCTGAGGCTGAAGCAGGCTGAGGCTGAGGCTGAGGCAGGCTGAGGCTGAGGCTGAGGCAGGCTGATGCTGAGGCAGGCTGAGGCTGAGGCTGAGGCTGATGCAGGCTGAGGCTGAGGCAGGCTGAGGCTGAGGCCGAGGCTGAAGGCAGACTGAGGCTGAGGCTGAAGCAGGCTGAGGCTGAGGCTGAGGCAGGCTGAGGCTGAGGCAGGCTGAGGCTGAGGCTGAGGCAGGCTGAGGCTGAGGCTGTGACTGTGATTGCCGTTGCCACTGCGACTGTCATCGCGAATGCGACTACGACTGCGAGAACAGCAGAATTCTACAACTGGATTCTCATCTAAATCTTAAGGGGAATGCTTCCAGATATGCTCCTACACATCGCTGTTAGGTTGCTTTACCGGGATAATTTGTTTGCTCGGCGCGCGAACCATGTTGTACTAAGCGCTGGTCGCGCGGGCATAGCCCGCGACGTGCACACAATTAAACATGGGCCCGCGACGTGGTACGGCGAAGCGCGGTCATGCCCTGGGAAGCCTGCAAGGAGGTGAAGAAGGGAGGAGGCGGGGTACGTAAGGGAGAGGAGGCGGGCGAGGGAGCGAAGGAGGCTAGCAGCGATCGTCCCCATCACTGCCGTGAGGCAGAACGGTGAGGTCCCCGAACTTTACGTCCACGGCCAGCGCCCCGAACGGCTGAGGCCTGGGGCAGCCCGGCACCCGTCCGCGGGTCACGTGCCTCCCACAGCCTGCTCGCGCGGAAGGCTGCGGCGCTCTGGCGGAGCACGCCCCCTTTGCAAGGCCTGGCCAGACCGACAACCGGTGGGTCTGCGTTCCACCACCACCACCACCACCATCATGGGCAGAAAGGGGGAGGGGGCCCTCCTCCTCCAATTCGTCCTCCTCCACCTCCGTCCCCCCCTCCAACTTGCGGCGGTGGTGGTGGTGGAAGACAGGCCCATGAGCCATATTCCCAGGCGTGCGAGCCGCAGGCCGAACAGACAACAGACAACAGGCGCAGCCCCGCGGACCAGAGGCTGCGCCGGCGGCCTCCCGCCGTGCAGCGCGGAGCACGGGCTGGGGAGGGGACGCGGGCGCTGCGCGGGCACCGCGCGCATCGCAGGCGCCCCTGGACCGTGACACGACGCACGTCATTCGGGGATGGACAGACCTCCCTTGAGCAAAACGTGGTTTGGTGAAAGCGACCTGAGGCCCAAGCCTGGCGGGCGCAAGCCTGGAAAGTGTCAGTGACGGCCGCGGCGCCCTCGCGAGAACCGAGACCGGACAATTCACTAATCGACGTGTCACTGTTGGGGGTTCTGTCCATCCCCGAGTCATGCGGGGCGGGGATTTCTCCATATCCACCGCTTGGGAACCGACGCCCTGGTGGCCCAGCGGGCGGCGCATATGGATACATTTCGGCCCCTGGGGGCCCGAACATACCCGTATCCACCGCCTGCCGAGGCTCCGAAAACTGACCCGAATGCATCGCAGGCGCCCCTGAACCGAGACAAAATCGTGGCGGACGTCAGGCACTGGGCGGTCAGCCGATAGCGCTGGGCCGCGGCGACCGCGTCACACTCTGGAGTGCTCCTGCCGCGGGAAGGGCCGAATCCGCAGGAAGCGACAGAGGCATCTGCCTACTGTCGTGACGAGCTGGCAAGCGCCCACAACCCGGCGCTCGGCCTCCACATCTTTGGGGTGCATGGCCGCACCACGCCGGGCCGCTGTGTCTGCCTCCGCGTGTCCCACGCGGAGATGGCGGGCATTGTCGGCAGCATCGTCGTCGGCAACTCTGGCATGCCCCTTGGCATTGCGAACCTGAACCTCGAACTCAAAATCTTCCAGGGCATCCCAGATCACAGACCACAAATCGGCACCGACACAACCTAAATGTGTGGTTTCCACGGCGGTAGGAAAGCACGCGGGTGCACCGCGTCTGTCCCCAAGTCCTCGGCATGCGGAAAGGTCCTGGCGGTCGTGGCAATGCCCTCGGGGAGTGGAACGACACTGTCGTCCAATTCGCCACACTGGCAGTCAGACTCTCCAGGCCCTGACGACCACAGATGGCGCCAAGGCTGGATCTCGGCCCGCGCCTCCTCCGCAAGTCCTCTGCCAGATAGGGTGGAGGCCGCCCATGGAACCACATCATTGATCCAACGGAAGGCCAGACGTGCTCCCGGAGCGTCCGTCGCCGAGCGGGCCCGGTCGAGCCGGCTCTCGAGCCTCGCGCATGCCGACGCGGAGCCGCCGCGCGAGGCCTCCGCCGCGAGCTGCCCGGCGAGGTCGTCCGGCTCGGCGCCCATGGTAGTCCCAGAGGTGGCGCCCTCGCGCGCGCCACGTGGGCCAGAAGTCCGGCGGTGCCTTCCGTGGCAGGGTGAACCGCCGCATGGCGGCGTGGAGGGCACGCGCACGGCGGCGAGAGGCAGGCGGGCCAAGTCTGCGGAGGTGCCGCCACTCCAGCGCGCGGTCACGCAGCCAGCCCCAGTCGCTGGCGCAAGCCGTTGGCTTCGCAGTGTGGTGCCGCGTGCGGCGCGCCTGCGCCACTGGCGCCTGGGCCATGCGGGGGCCGCCAGCCTCGCCCTCGAACCTGGCGCGCCAGTCGCCGAGGCCGAAGCAGCGAGTGAGCGCGCCCCCGTACTTGCGAAGCCAGCCGCGGCAAGCCTCGTCCAGGTCGTCCGCAGATGTGGCGGCCTCCGCCGCCTCCTCCTCCTCCGTCGCCCACTCCAGCGGCTCGAGGCTGGGGCCGATGAGGGGCTAGGAGGGGCACGCATTGAGGTTCTGCAAAACGGCGACACGCTCGTGCGCAGCGGCCAGGTGGAATGCCATGCGCACCGCCCGATGCGGTCGGACCACGATCTCGCCGACGACCGTGGCAGACACCGCCGAGATGCTGGCGGACGTGACGAAGAAATCGATTTCACTGCCCCCAGTCGCCCCGAAGTAAGTGTGCTGGCCAGCCGCCACCACAGCGCCGCGCACGGCCGAGAGCCACTGAGTCTGGTCAAAGCAGGCCAGCTCGAATTGGAAGTCGCCCGCCAGGACGCAGGGCCTCCCCAATGCCCGCACGGCCTCCCCGCCAGAGAGGCGCGTGAGGTTGTCTTCGCCCATGCCGCCGCCCGTGCGTAGGTACAGCGCTCTAAGCACGAAGTCTCAAGGTGGACCGGCAGCCACCATCCAGCGCCCGTTGAATGGGGTGGCGACCCACTCATCCAGCACGGCCCGCCGCAAACCAATCCACGGCTTGACGAGGATCGCAAGGCCTTTGCAAGTGCCGCCAGCGGTCGCCCCCCGAGCAAGCAGGAAATCCGACTTCCAGCCGCGTCGCCAAGCAGCCAGCCTAGCGACGATAATGTTGGGCTCGTCGAGGTGGTGCTCCTGGACTGCTACCACGTCAGCGTCCGCAGTGCCGCGCTCGAGTTCGCGCAGCAGCGAGCCCAGGACCGCGACGCTCACCGTGACGATCGCGCAAAGTCCGACGGGCGCCGCTGCCCGCGGCGCGTGCCACCCCCGCGGATCCGAGGCAGGTGGCTGGCGAGGCGCAGCGCGCGCGGCCCCGGATCGTCCTCGGCCACAGCTGAGGGGCCGCACTGAGGCAGCCGCTACGGCGCGCGCCCGCAGCTGGTCGCCGCCACTAGCCGCTTGCACTGCCTGCGGCGGCTGGCCGAGATCTCGATGATACCCGAGACCGTCGCGGCCCGTGGAGAGAAATACTAGCCAGGCCTCCGTCCCTCGAAGGCGCGGGCCAGCACGAACTCGGGCCTCGGGCAGGGTCACCTCCACGCCCGAAAGGGCCCCCACAGGGGCATCCGCCTGTGGGCTGCCAGGGGCCGCGACCGCAGGCTCACGTAGGAGAGAAGTCATTCGCCGAGTCGCAGTCTCTCCCTTTTCCCTTGGACGTGACAGCTGCCGCCCGCACCGCGGCCGCCTGCAAGGGGGCCCCTGCCACCAGACCGCGTCGCAGCCAGCCCGGGACTGGCATGCCCTGGGCGACGAGCTGACTGGCGAAGGTCTCCCGCTCCGCGTGAGACAGGCCCAGGATGTGGTTGGACTCCTCGTCATTCACCCCCGCGGGCGCAACGTCGCCTCCAGCATCTGGCC